CCCCAAAACCCCAAAACCCCAAAACCCCATGGTGCTTCATTTTTAAAAAATTTGAAATTAATAGAAATCTAAACTTTTATTCCCGTCTCTATTATGTATTAATTAGCAAGCTCTAAATTTAATTAATAAACTTGATCATACATATGGAGAGATTATCAAGTCCTTAAATATAGGAGGAGATATTGCAATAGCCAGGTCAGAATTTATAAGGGTAAAACTCAGTGTACTTGTCGCATGAGGATATAGACAATATTGAAACAGATGAAGCTCTTAAAAAACTACTTCAATCTATAAGTTGTTCATTTGACCAGAATAAATTTTCTATGCTTTATAAAGACAAGAATCTTGAGAAGGAATTCCTCTGCTCATATCACTAGAAAATAATATAGTTCGGACTTATTTATACTATTGAAGTAATTGCTGTTTTCGCTGAGTATTTCATATTCTAAACTGCAAAATTAATCCTTCTCTAATACAAGTATCCTGCATATAAATGGGCTGCTTTGACCGTAGCTATATTTTACTTGGTGACAATATCGATATACGTTTTAGCTAGGCGATTCATTTCGTTAGCTATTTATTTTACTCATATATAAAGTCTCGTTGTTTATATATCAATAATAGAGACAGCAATTTTAGGAAATCCCATGCAAGCTCAGGTAGATGGATTTATCGTAATTTCTGCAACATTGGTATCGGTTGCTTTTATTAGTTATGATTAATGATCTATTTTGCTTTCTTATATTTCTATTATCGCTTACAGTCTGTGGAGGACATACGATTGGATAGCAGATCCATTTAGATATGCAAGATTTAATATATTTTTACTAACTACACTTGGAATCGTCTACATTTTTTCAAGAGCAACTCATTTTAGAGAAAGAGAAAAGTTTGAATAAGCAAAAAAGCAAAAGTAGTTGCTAAAGCTATTTCATAATTTAATAAGAGTTTATCATGATGGAATCTTGATAACAAAAAAAGAAAACATTGTTTATAGCAATACAGCTTTGAGATAAATCTTTAACATTGAAAAAGAAGCTATTCAGAATTTGCAAAGTATTCCAGATCTGCAAACCGAAAATCTATTAATCCCTGATATAAGCAGCTAGATAGTAGAGCAATTAGATTTGAGAATCGAAGAGTAATTTATTTAAGGCTTTAAGAAGACTATTCCTAAATTCTCTTAGAATTAAATGAGTAATACTTTCACTGATGCTGAGAATTAAAATGAAAAATGGTTTACTGATATTTGGGATTACATATAATAGCATCAAAAGCATTTAGATCCAATATTTTTCAACAAAGAGTACCTCATTAATCCACTGGATGGACTATACTTTAAGTTCAAGTATTCTGAAAATCAAGATGTAAATTAAGAACTCGTTAAATTTAAGATTCTTTAAGTTTTTACTCAAACCATTAGGCTAGGTTAGCAAATGTTCGTTATGACAACTATTAGAGACTAGTCTAACTGGCTAGAGATCGAGAAATAGAAGAATCTATCTTAACTCAAGACTGTCGCATTTGCTCAAGCAGCTCATGAATTTAGGAATCCTTTAAATGCAATTAACTCTTCACTTTAGCTACTAGATAACACTCTAAATGATATTCCAGCTCGTCAATATCTAGTTACTGCAAAAAATAGTTCTAGGCTAATGCTCTATCTAATAAATGACATTTTAGATTTTTCACAAATAGAGTCACAGAGTCTTGTACTCAATTATGAAGATGTTAATATATGCTAGTTGATTTAAGATTGTTTCTCTATCCTAGAATTGAAAGCATAAGTGAAGGAACTAGAATTATCAAAAATTATTGACCCAATTTTTCCTAAAAAGATCAACACAGATCCTAATAGACTATAATAAATTCTTATAAATCTACTATCGAACTCGATAAAATATACTAATGAGGGATTTGTCAGGATATTTGCAAAAGTAGACTAAGCAAATAACTAGCTTAATTTAATTATTAAGGACTCAGGTGTTGGTATGGATAAGCAGCAACTATCGAAATTATTTACTGCTTTCACAAAGATTATGTAAAACAGAGATATGAATAAAGATGGAGTTGGATTAGGCCTGACTATAAGCAAAAATCTTGCCTAGGCTCTAGGTGGTGATATTAATGTATGATCAGAGATTGATAAAGGATCGGAATTTATTTTGATTCTTCCATTCAAATCAGAAGACTAAGTAAAGATTATTGATAACAACGATTAAAATATAGAAAACTCTTAAAATAGTTCTTAATCTTTAAGTATTGATTTAGAATTTGAAGATGATTAGGATAGCCTCAATGTCTAGCCAGTAAATCTTTTGCAGGACTAGTTGAATAGAGGGATAAAAGATAAGACCTTCTTGACTTAATCAAGATAAGATTTGGATTTATTTTCCAGGAATGGGAGAATTTTTGTTGACAATTTTTCTTAACAAAATAGCATTTAACGAAGAAAACAAATTTAATTTATTAATAGAGTAAGATTAAATTCAAGACCACGTGACTAGAATTTCTCATTTTCTAGGTTCTAAGATATTGATTATAGTGAATTACCTTATACTTACACTCCTACTAGATGCCACTGCTCTAGAATATTATTAGTAGATGATGAGCCATTCAATTTAATCACACTTTAAGGATTACTAGATCAATATAGCATCGATAAAGTAGATAAATGCTATAATGGAAAGCAAGCTGTTGAAAAGATTAAGGAAAATTTTGATAAACATTGTTTGAGCCATCAATCCTATGAGCTTGTAATAATAGATAATTAGATGCCAGTAATGAATGGAATAGATGCTTGTAAGGAGATTAGAATAATGCAATAAAATGATTTGATGTCAAAATTAACAAGAATTGTGCTTTTGACTGGGGATGAATCTATGCTTACTAAGGATGAATACATAAATCTTTTTGATGACGTGATTTTAAAACCTATTGATTCCAATATCTTGGGTATTTTACTTATGTAGACCAGTTCACAAAATTGAGCTCATATTAAAAATACTTCAAAATAATTACCTCTAATATTTATTGATATTTTTCCAAATAGATTTTAATTTAATTTATTCTCTCGGGGTTTTGGGGTTTTGGGGTTTTGGGG